GCTTAATAATATCCAATTATTTTTAGTTTAATTTTTATTATTATTATTTTTTTATTGCAAAAACTTACTTCTATACTTAATAAATAATGTACACAATTAAAATATTTAAACATAGTATTTATGGCTAGAGCAAATAGTTGGTAAAAAAATGCTACTTATGGTCTGCATTTTTAGTTAAAACTGTAAAAGAAAAATTCTTGGCAAACTTTTAATCAAAATACTTAGTTATTACTTTTTTTTTTATTACGTTTTTATTATGTTTACATATACTTTTTTGTAGTTATTTTTTTTACGTTTTTTTACTTTTTTTTAAAAAAACTTTTTTTACGTTTAATTAATTCGTGCATAAGCAGCTACAAATATTGAATTTTTAGGTACATTTGTCATAAACTGTAATTAAATAAAAGCGAAAAAAAAAAAAAAAAAAAAAAAAAAAAAAAATTTAAAAAAAAAAAAAAAAAAAAAAATTTAAAAAAAAAAAAAATTATAAAAAAAAAAATAAAAAAAAAAAAAAAAAATGCTTTTATTTTTTAATCCGTTTATTTGATTATTATTATTTTTTAATTTGTTTGTCATGTAATATATAAAGACTTATTTAAATATATTACTATTACTATTACTATTTCATTAAAAAACAGTGATTTTTATGTCTATTTTGCTTAAAACTACTATTTAACTGTAATTTAGACATATAGTTGTAAACTGGAATTTGGATCCAATTGAAATTTATCTTTATAAGTAATAATATTGGTAGTTAGGAAAACCGTCATTTAGTCTACCCAGCTGATTATTTCAAGTTTTAGTACTAGTTTTTAAAAAAAATTGAATTTCAATATCTATATAGCTTATAAAGAGCAGATTATAAAAAACCACACGAGATATATTTACACTTAAAAATACATAATAAACAAAAATACATAAATATAAATCTATAGCCCTAATTTAATGATAAAGATGGTAATCTTTTGCAACTTTTCACAAAAATTAAAAAATTGCGGACGTTTTGGACCAAATTTCGTATTTCTCAAAATAAAGGTATGGGAGTTTTTAAGGCAAAAAAATCGCCGTGAAGAGTGTATGCAAGTATCTAATTTATGTAAATTTCAAATTATGTAATATTAAAAGTTTACATATATCAAGTTTACAGTTTAACTTTGACTTGAAAACTGCATTGCGGCAGCATCTCCTTTGTTTTGATTTATAGAATTTATTTACCATTTTATAAAGTTTTTTGTTTATTAAATAGCGTTAAATCCCTTCACAATCAATACACCGTAGTGACCGAAGTGCTAAGATTGCAGATTTTCTAAAGCAAATCGCCATGGTTCAAATCCTACCTCTGTAATCTTTTTTTTAAATAAATCTTTGATTTTTCTATAATACAAAATAAAAACTTTTGAAGTTTTATAGATATTATATACATAACATATATAAAGATATGATACACTATATATAGTGTATAAAACGTTTATATATGTTGTGTAATAAACGAAAAGGAGAGAGTTTTTACAAAAGCTTAATAGTTCTAAAAACATCAAAACACTGAAAGAAATTTGTTGTGCATTTGTCTTCATGGAGATACTTATGTTATTAATGTGCTCAGGTAATTAGTCCTAATAAGCTGCAGATGGTCTGAAAAAAATTTATGGTCCAAAAACTAAATAAAGAAACTAATAAAACAGTCCTGCTACTCCAGAAGGTGCTGCTATGGAGGAAAAAAAAAAAGAAAAAAAAAAGCCCATAGCTATAAAAAAAACTTAAAAACTTTTTTTAACAGTTAAGTCTTTTTTGCTATATTAATTTTTTTGCTATAAGTATATACGGATAGATTATAAAAAATTGGAAAATATATTGTGTTAAGGAACGGATGTAAATCTCGCAAAACGACACCGATAACAGCGCATTAAACTACTGATCTACCGAGTTTATGCATGTAATCAAAAAAACATTTTTATAAACTCTTGTACTGATTGCAATTAATCAACACTTTTCAAGCGGGTTCTCCAGCTTTATTACATAGTATGTAACATAACATAATATAACAATAAACAAATACGTTATATGCAAATGTAAAAAGTTTACTTATATACTTAATGCAAGTCTTTTTCGCTTAAACTGTTTTGCTTTGAATTTTCATATTTATGTTATTGTATGGGGTTGTCCACAAAGTACGTACGCTCCTGAAAGTGAAGAGGGGGGGGTATTGGGGGTCTTCAACTAAAGTACATAAGTTTATGAAGGGGGGAAGGGGGTTTCATTTAAAATTACTTGCCCACAAATTAAAAAAAATTACTTAGTAATGTTTGTTTTTCTATTTTATCACTATTAACAAATACTTGTTAACAACTAAATGTTTTTTAATAACAAACAACTTAAAAAAAAAAAAAAAACATACCGTATTGTTGTTGTGCATAATTCTCCTTAATTGTCAATAATTTTCTGACTAAAGCTAGTGGGCCAACATAAAATGATGTATGATATAGAGGAGTCGAGGGCATAGTATCCCTCTATGCATACACATGCCACCCATTATACACTGGGCCTGAGTAAGACGGACTTGTACTTTAAGCAACCTCTTTTTTGAGTCCGCAAAAAACAGATTTTATCTATGCCATGCAAATGGGTTGAAGCCCCCCTCCCTAACAAAAAAAAAGTTTTGTTATTAGGCTCTAAAACCTTTAAAACATTTCTCCAAGGTATTGGTAAAAATAAAGCCCTTAAATTTGGAACAGAAGTTCTTAATTTGCTAGCTTCCCGTTCTCATTTGGGGGTGTGAGGTTGCCCTGGTTCTGGATTTCAGGTTTTGTTTTCAATATTACTCATCTTGCGTAAGACTCGTATTTTACGGACTTACTAAAGAGGGGTGCTAAAAAAACGTCTCCCGAAAGTAAATTTATCACTCGTTTCTTTTCGTAACTTGTAATTACAAATAGATAGAAATAAATATACGCTAAGGAACGATAACTTAACTCGACAACCATTTTCTCAAACTAATTTAGGAAAATTTTTTATTTCATTTCGCGGACCATTTTTATGGAATAGTATAGTTTTAAATACTTCTAAAGATTTTTCTCAAGAATGTAATTTTGATTCTTTTAAACAAAATCCTAAAAAACTCATTTTTTTAACTGAAAATATACTAATCTACTTTTAAATTTTTGAAAATCTCTTATCTATATTAGTATATGTATATATATTTAATGTACATTCTTTTGTTATTTATTTATTTTTTATCAACAAGCAATTATTTAACATGTTTTATTTTAGTGAATTATGTTTAGTTTTAGTTTTAATTCATGTTTTAGTTTTTACGTTTTAGAACTCTTATATTGTAATATTGTTTATTTATAATATTATATTACGAACTTTGTATACTTTTATTATCAAATTTAATTTTGTAATAAAAAGAAATTGAACAAAAATAAATAAATACAAAAAATTGAAAACAATGAAAAAAAAAATAATAATAATAAAAAAAAAAATTAAAAAAAAAAAAGTTCAATAGCGGTTTCTCTGTGACAAGACCTGATGGTCTTCTTTGAGTATCCGCGTTTTTTATAATTATTTTTATTCTTTATTACTTAACGATATCTTGACTTGTTACCTTTTCTTTTTTCTTTTTTATATTATTTGTATCTGTATCATAAATATTGTAATAAAGTGTTATTAAAAATAATAATAATAAATATATATATATATATATATATATATATATATATATATATATATATATATATATATATATATATATATATATATATATATATATATATATATATATATAAATTTTATTTGATTTTCAAAAATAAAACGTAAATTATGACTTTAAAAAATAAAAAGTAAAGTGTGACTTGTCTAAGATTTGATCTTCGACATGGAATCGGTTGCATTAACCTCTCGGCCATACACACATGTTTGCTAGCTTTTAAATTAACTTTAATAAATAAATATTTTTTACATGTGTTTTTGAAGTTGGTAAACCTCGCCGTGTACGGTAACCCGTACTGTAACCTCCCCGTATGGTAACCTCGCCGTGTACGGTAAACCTCCCCGTATACGATAAACCTCGCCGTGTACGTACGTGTTTTTATAAATCTTATCAAAAAATTAAAATATGGATCTAACGTTAAAAAACATAAAAAAATTAATAACAACAAATCTTGAAGAGCAAAAATCTATTATACTATCAAAAACAAGTAAGTTATTAAAAGAGCAAGAACAAAACTTTATATTAATAATAAGTGGAAACTCTAAAATTCTCACAGAACGACTTGACAAACTTAAATATGAAGCCTAAGAAAGCAATTCAAAAGTTGCTTTCATTGAAAGAAAAATTTACGAAACTAAAGAGAGCTTGAACTTTCAAGAAGAAAATATAACTAAAAAAAATGGAAAAATTACAATAAATTTGGGGTATGATATAAATTACCAAGTAAAAAAAACAGTGGACTTAAAGAACCGTGCCGTGGCACAGTGGTAAGAGCGCTTGCTTTATGAGCAGGAGATCCAAAATGTACTCAGGCAATCATTTCTAATAAACTCTGAAACATAATAAAAAAAGATTAATAAGCCCGTCTACTACTGCAGAAAGTGCTCTTATAAGCTCTGCGTATGCAGAAAAAGGTGGGTATATTAATTTTAGTAAATATGCAATCAGTACTAAAAATTAATGATCGGCGTGGAATAGATAAGTATAGAAATGGTCGGTTTGGTAAATATTGTCATTTTAAGTGTCCGGAAAGCTGGGATTATATATATATATATATATATATATATATATATATATATATATATATATATATATATATATATATATATATATATATATATATATATATATATATATATATATATATATATTTAAGGAATAGTATAGAAAATTTCGATGTGTAATAGACCTACAAAGATCAGTATTTTTACGGATCCGGTCACCTAGTATCAAATAATACGCTCTAAGTATTTCACAAGAAATATTGTATTCGAAATAATTATATCAAATGTTATAATTAATAAAAATTATTTAAATATTACGAGTGCTTTATAATAAATATTACAAGTGTTTATTATATTCTGATAATTAAAATCGAAAATATTTTAAGTTAATTTATACATTTGTTGTATTTTTATTTAGTTTATAAGTTCGGCAATGTTAAAAGGAAATAATAAAAAACAAAACGAGGATGAAAATATTTTAGTTTATAAAAAGAAATAGGTTAATTTTTTTCTTTAGTAAAACGTTTTCTCTCAATGTAATCATTTCACACTCACTCGCTGTTTTTCAAGCAACAACTTTACAAATAATAGACTTAAAAATTATTTACAAATATGCCTTGTCAAAAATTTAATCACCAATTCTTTAGTTAACAGGATCGTCACCATCATCATTATCACCATCATCATCGTCATCACCATCATGGTCCTCCTATAATAATTAAACATTTATAATGAAGTAATGAAAACATGAAATAATGAAGCTTAGAACCTTCTCAAACCAAAACCCCGATATGGTTTGAGAAGGTTCAAAGATACTTTTCCGCTACAAATTAGTTTTTATTATTAAAGGTGGGAAAGCCAAACCATTTGTTGATGTCGTTTCCTTTTAAAAAATAAAACTTTATTTTGTTTTGTCTTTAATTAAAAAGATCTTGTCACTTCTCCTATTGCCCCAATAGTTCGCTGGCTCTTAGTCTAAATAAAATCTCTCAAACAATTAGCACAGTTTCTCGACATTTCTCTTTGTTGCGTAATAAAATAACTTACAGTTACTGAATTCAAGAACTTGATGATTAAAAACTCTAGGAGATTCTTAAGACTCAAGAGGATTATAGATTTTCTAGAGGATTAAAGATATTCTAAAGGATTAAAGATCTTGCTATTAATAGTGAAAAAAATTGAATTAAAAAAAATTGATTGAATAATAACTAAAAAAGTCGGAGTGATCTTAGTTTAAATAAATAAAAATAAAATTAAAAAAAAAATGACCTAGAGTTTAAAATAATGAGAATGATAGTTGGTGACTTTTAGCAGGCAAGAAACAAAAATCAAATAAACAATTGTTAAATAGTTTCAGGGCTACAAAAGAAAACACCTTCGCAAAACTATTTTATATATCATAAAACCACAATTGTCTGAACTGTAGATAAGTCTAAGTAAGAAATAACTTTAGCCACAGTAGCCTGAGTGTATTAATGTCTGATCAAATATGAAACTCTAAATCAAAGATGTTAGGACGTGCTCAATAAAATCAACTACTGCTGCTGCTGCTGCTGCTGCTGCTGCTGCTGCTGCTACTACTACTACTACTCCTACTACTACTACTACTACTACTACTACTACTACTACTACTACTACTACTACTACTACTACTACTACTACTACTACTACTACTACTACTAAACAATACTACCAACTCTGAAAAATTTATTTTAATTCTGAACTTGATGAATATAAATGACATATATTCTTACTTTGATAGAGATGACGCTATCATTAGATTGTTTTGAAGTTGTTGATGTTGGGCGAAATATATTTGTGCTAGATTTATTCCCAAACTCTTTAAAAACACTCAATTCTTGCTCAGCAATACTGTCTAAAAGCTTTGTCATTGTCTCTCTTCCTTTTATTTTAGCTTTATCCATAGCTTCCAACTTTAAAAGAACGGAATCAATCTTTAACACCATACTGCCAATACTTTGTTCAACACGATCAACGCGTCGAGCCAGGCTGAATATTAAAAAAGAATAATAGTTAGCCAAAATATTTGATAATTAACCTGCAAAATTAAAAAGCAAAAGCAAAAAAATTATTAAAAGAAAAAACTTTTCATATCAAAAATAAAACTACTTTTACAAAAAAATATAAATATTTATAAAAACTATTAATTTGTTTTTTGGTGGTTTTTAAGGTATTCCAAAATGCCATTTAATAAGGAATTTTCCTGCTGTCGCTTATAGATCAGAGTAAGCTATTGTTGTTACCAAATATGGAATTCTTTATGTCTTCAATGAAAGAAAAAAGTAGTTGGGTAACAGTTCACATATAGTCAGTAAACAGATAAAGGTTGCATAAGTATAATATTTGCAAATTTTTTAAAGTTATCTATGAAAGTATCACAAAAGCTATTATATTTAAGGAAAAAGGGAGTGGTATGGAAAAGGTAATTTATAATGGACAAATAATGTTATATTGGACTCATGTTGTTTATACATTGTCGTTTATACTTTTCTAGTAAGCTCCATCTAATAATTTTAGTATAAGGTAACCATGGAGTATAGCTGTTAATGAATTGGATCAAGTACCAATGGATCCTACACAAGCACAGACCAATTTACTTATTGAATCTGGGGGTAGGGTTTGGATTTTGGCCTGTTCCAGTAGTACCAGGTAACATATCTAACCACCAATTTAAAAAGATTAAATCAGAACAAATTAAGAAGTGAATGTAAACAAAAGAAGTGGATTATTTTTATAAAATGAAGCTTTTATTCTGATTTTCATAAACATAAAAATTATTTTATTTTTATAAATTTTTTTTAAAAAAACAACCCAGTTTATAAATTTTATAAAATCTCTTCACTGTGCTCTTCTGAGTTTGCCAGAGTAAATTTAGGTTTACATTTTTTGTTTAACTATTATTACATAGTTTTGTCAAGTATTTAATATAATTTTTGAATTTTAAACTAACTTTTAAACATTTAGAATTAGTTAAAACATCTATAAAAGGTAATATCATTTGTAATACAAATAAAAAGACGTAAAAACAATTTAAAACAATTATATAAAACTTATATTTTTTGAAACTATACATACAATCGATTGCTAAGCTAGCATCTACTAAGGTTGCTTTTCTTCATAGTGCTTGCCATTTTCTTACTCTTGATTCCATTCTCTACCTCTATAAATCTCTTATTCATTCCTGTATGGAATACTGTTGTAATATTTGAGCTTGTTCGTCTAATGATGCTCTTTCTCTTCTAGACAAGGTCCAAAAACGCATTGTAAATGTAATACACTCTATCTGCCAAGCTTGAACCTTTCTCCCATCATCGTAAAGTTGCAACTCATTCTTTTTTCTGGAAATATTATCATGGGCGCTGCTCAAAAAAGCTTTAGTTCCATCAGCCAAAACTAATTCAGGCTTGACTTGCCATTTAGCAAAGTCTCATCCTTTTACTGTATCTGTCTCTGCATGCTCTAAAAACTTTTATTTGCCTAGTTTATTTCCTCACACCTCAACCCTTTGGAACTCTCTCTCTCCCATCTTCATGTTTACTCATACAATTTATAATTTTTGAAGTCAACGTTTTCTTGCTCATTAAGTCTATTCTTTATTTTCTTGTAACTCCCAACTAAATATTTGTTGCTTATAGTCTTGTTGAGAGTGAATTAAATTAAAAAAAAGGTTTAATATCCTTAAACAAATTTAAAATAATGTATTTCTCAAGTATAGTATGACTTGATAAAGTGTTTGTTTTCAAAAAAAATTTTAAATGCAATTTAGCAGACGTTCAGAATACTACTACTAATAATATTATCATTATTAGTATCAGCATTAAACAGCATTAAACCTAGAGACAAGTTTCTTTGGTTTTTGGAAACTATCTTGTTGTTGTTGGCACACCTGATAAGAAATATAGCAAATTTCCCTTAAATAAATAAATTATTTTAAATTACCTTTAGATATTGTAAAGGAAATCAAGTATTTTAAACTTGAGTAAAAAAAAAACACAGCTACTTTGCAAAAACATGCAATAAAACTTATAGAAAACAATGTTTGGACTTAATATATCAACTCAGATTAGGGAGCAGCATGATGCAATTCATCTCTACCAAAGCTGCAAGGGACCACTAATTGGATTAACAAAAAACAAAGATAAAGAGAACTGTTGAAAGCTGTAAGAAAGCGATAAGCAAAAGACTTAAAAACTGTAAATGTTATACCAAAAATAAAACTTTATGGTACCTCAGAAGTTAATGGAAATAATGGCGAGTATTGAAATCAAGGACAAATTAAATGCTGTAATTAGAAAATAACGATTCAACAATTTTTTTAAACTTTCTAAATACACCATATGAAGCTTAGAAAGAAGATGTACAAGCCAGATTTCACCAACATTTTTTGATATGTCAAGACCAATAGCTCTTGTCTAAGCTTTAACCTCACGCATAGCAGAATCCTTTTGTTTGGTTAATAAGCTAGCAGTAGAACTAGGATCAAAATCCTTATTGATTGTCAGAGAGTAAGCATCTAGACTCAAGATGAGATATTAGAAGTTTTTTAATTAAAGATTCAATGGTGATTAATAGTAAGAAGACTAATAAAGATGCCATTTTCCAGCACTTGAATTTTAGAACTATGCACTTGAATTTTAGAAGAGTAATGAAAAAATTTCTAAAGAACACTTTTAAGACTGTGATAGTTATCTGGACCACAAGATCTGGACCACAAAATCTGGACCTCAAGATCTGGACCACAAGATCTGGACGACAAGATCTGGACCGCAAGATCTGGACCACAAGATTTGGACCACAAGATCTGGACCGCAAGATCTGGACCACAAGATTTTTATAATTTCAAAACAGAATCATTTATTTTAGGGAAAAGAGATAAGTAGCAGTTTGGTATTTGTAAATAATAATTCTGATTAATAAGAAAGAGGTTTTTCATAAGAAAGAGGTTAGACTCCTGATTACACTGTTGCTAGGACTACATTGATAATGGATTTACTTAAAGGTATTGTAAATGTTTTTAACCCATTAATCAAACATGCAAATTTATAAAGTCTAAATAATTCTGTTGAATAAAAACAAACATTTTTTTTAGCTTTAGTTGAAGAACAAAAGTGCAAAACTTAGCAGACTATTGAAATCAATAGCTCTGAATGATTTAAAATATTTGATAGCATTTGATGTTAAATGGGGTAACTCTTTGTTTGGTTTAAAAAACCAAATAAAAAGTGACAAGTATGTCTGTCTCAAGTGTGAAGAGAAAAGAAGAGAAAAGAAGAGAAAAGAAGAGAAAAGAAGAGAAAAGAAGAGAAACTAAAAACATAAAAGTCCTCTTGAGAGTGGAGTAAATCAACTAAAACAAGTTTATTACAGATGGATACAAGAAAAATCAGATAAAGAAATTAAAAAACTGCATTTTCAATGAACCTTCAAAAACTTTAGTGGAACATTTTGTCCAAATGATATATATGCAATCTGTAGTTAGTTGCAACCTGTAGTTAGTTTTCTTTAATTGATACAATAAGATTTTATCTATTAAAAGTAATCAGTTTTAGATTTAAAAAAAAAGCTTTTGTAAAAATAAGGCTTTATCTTCTAAAAAAGTTTAACTACAAATGAAATTTGCTTTTTATTAGTTCACACTTTTACTTCACTGGTGGCCAAAGAGACAACCAGGGCTTATGTTGTGTCATTCAAATGTTGTGTCATTCAAATGTTGTGTCACTTAAATGTCATGTCACTCAAATGTTGTGTAACTCAAATGTTGTTGACACTCAAATAAAACCTTTTCAAGACTATTTGTCTTGTAACAATAGAGTTTTTTTAAAAATCCAAACAAAGTACTATAAGTCATTTAAAAATATTTACAATATTAATGAAATTTTAATGACAAAAACTAGATAAGACCTGGCAGTCTCTTTGTTTCTTTTGTCTCGCTTCTTTTTTTCTTTCTATCTTGTTCCTATATTCCATAATTTAAGTTGGTTTATCAATATCAAAATTCAAGTATGAAAGCAATGTAAGTATAGTTTATAATATATTTAAATATGCAAATCAGCTTATAGAAAGTGTGATAAATTTTTCTAATTTTTTAAACTACCCAATAATTGTTATTATTGTCAAAACTGAAGTCATAATATTATTGCTTTTGTTACAAAAGTACTATTTCAAGAAATTAAGACTTTAATTTTTAATGTTATTAAAAATTTTTATTATATCAAAAATTGTAGTTTTTAAACAAAATTTGTGTTAAGTTATAATACTCTTTTCACATTAAAAAAAAATTTTATAACATATATTAATAAACTATTAATAAAAAACTAACAAACACATTAATAAAAGTCAAAAACTCAGACATATGACATAATTTTTTTAAAAGACGAATTGTTAAGGAGTGGAACAATCTACTGAATGACATTAAAACATCAAAATGAGTCGATGAATTTAAAGTTTTACTTGACAGGCTAAGCTTTGGGCTGCTATAAAGCACCATCTACTGTTGGTGGGCTGCACATTTAGTTTATATAATTTTGTATTTATAAATACTCTGTGAAATATTATTTATGCAGAAATGTATATTACTAATAAAAAAAAAAAAAAAAAAAGATTTGAAGATTTTGAGAGGAATTTAGTCTAGAGGTTTGATTTTGAGTCTAGAGGTAAATCTTTTTTTATAAAAAAAATCTTAAAATCATATTATGTGTATTTAAAATAGGAGAATAATTATTTGGTTTCTCAAAATTGGTTTCTGGAACATTTACTTGATCTCACAAGAATTTAATTGTGAGAGTAAAAAAAACAAGTTGTCATGGAGAAAAAAAACAACACAATAAGCTTTCTATTTAAAACAGAACCTATTTAATACAAATGAAATTAAAAAAAACAAATAAAAAAATATTTATTACGAATTTGTTTTTTTTTTTTTAATTATTATTTAAAAATGGAATTTTATTTTTTTAAAAAACTTATTTGTAATAAAAAAAAAAGAAGAGATAATTGATCTTTCTTGTAATCTTTCTTTATAATGAATGCATCAAAGTAGTGTGATTTTAAAAATTACATTACATAATGAAATATTTACCAAGTTTTCAGTTTAATAAGTCTGGTTTTATGAGATAGCCAGACAATAGCCAGAATATCTTGTCTAATCTAAGATATCCAGATTCGTATGAATATATCATAGTATCCAGACCTTTAAAACTAAGACTCTGGTAAATTTTCTACTACTAATCTTTAAAATCTAACAACTTTGTAATACTACAAATCTGGATCTGACCTTCAATAGAGAATAAAGAAAACAAGATTTCCTAAATACGATAGTCATGAAAAATTGCAATCATAAAAAACTGTTGAACTGTAAAAATTCTGTATACGTATTCATTTTTTATATTAATAAAAAGAAATAATAACAATAACATTAATAGTAATAATAATAATATTTATAGTAATAACAATAATGATAATAAAAATAATAATAATAATAATAATAAAAATTTTAATAATAATAATAATAAAATAATACAAATATTTTTAAAAATGTGTTGAAAGTATAAAAATAAAAATGAGTAAAAACAAAAATTTTAAGATTTTTACATTACTTTAAATTACAAAAATTTATATATTTATAGTTTACAAAAATAAATTTACATATTAGAAATTACTTATATAATTAAAGTTTATATAAATAAATTTAGAAACAGTTTCATATGTTAATTTAAAATAAAATGTTCATTAATAAGTAAGTTCAGAAGTAATTAACTTTCACATATAAATGTAAAAATGTTTATTATAGCTAATGTTTATTATAAGTAAATAAAATAATATAAGAAAATAAAAATATAAGATTTTTGCATAAACAAAGCAATCATACATTGAGAACTCTTCATATTTTACAAGTCCTGTTGGTTCACTGTCATTTTCATCATCATCTTCATCATCATCATCATCATCACCAGATTTCATGTTTATTTTACTTTGAATTTTTTTTAAATTTCCTTTTGACTTGCGAACTTCTTCAATTTCATCTTCTAACTCTTCCTATAGAAAAAAAAAAAAAAATCGTTAAAAATTTTAAATGAAATTTTGTTAAAAATTATAAGTAAAAGTCAACCGCACTGTGATCAAATAGTCTTAGTTTCATAATGATATTTACAAATCAAATGCCATTTAATATTTTAGATTATTAATTTAAAGGCTTATTAACTCTTAGCTACTTTTAAAAAAAAAGTAAACAAAGTATTTTTATTAAACAGCTGTTGTCAAACCATTTATTTATGAATAATGTTTCATATCATATAATATCATATTTTTCTAGTATTATGCTTAGAGAATTTAACTAAATCCTTCCAAAATAAGTTTGATAATTATTTTGCATGCCATCTAAAGCAACAAATTTATTTGTAAAAACCTCTTTTCAATTTTTATTTAAAAACATAACTTAACATTGACAATGTAATACTAAACTTGGAAAAGAAAAGTACAACTCTTTTTTAATTGAAACAGGTTTTGAAAATTGATCTTTAGTTTAAAATTTTAAATGAACATTAATATTAAAAAACAAAAAAAGTTGTCTGAGATTAGAATTCAAAAAAATTAAATTTTTTGTTTCAAAAAACGATTTTAGATTTTAAAATTAAAAGTATATGTTAAATAAAAATTAAAAAGCTTATTAGAAATGCTATAAAATCATTAAAATCAAACATGTAAATTAACTATTAAAAAAAAAAAACAAAAAAAAACTTGAAAGTAACCTTGAATTGCTTAATTAAAGCAATATTAATTCCATATTTATTTGAAATTAAAAAAATTAGTAATTCTAAATATAAACAAGGATCAACCTAAAGAGAAAAAGAAATTGCTACTTTATGTAAAAAACTAATGGTGCACATTCCTTAAAAACCAAAACCTATGGTGTGCATTCCTATAAAAAATCTTTCTGCATGTTATTGTACATATTAAAAATGGCGTGTGCAGTAACATGCTTTTTCTGGATTTGTAATTTTTTTTGAATTTATATTTTTTTTGATACTTTTTAATTTTTTTATTTTTAGAATATTTATTTTCAACAAAAAAATTTGATACAAGTCAAAGGACAGATCTTTCATCGGTTAGATAAAAGTTATTAATAGATTATCAAACAATGTTAGTTTATCACTCATGCTAGAATAATGAGCAATTAAATTATATTTTTTTTAATGTTTGTGAAATATTTTTCATTTTTATCTAGATTATTACATCATATTTTTTATATGATGTAACCATATAAAAAATATGATGCAATCATCTAGATAAAAATTGATGATTAAGATAAAATGAAAAGTCCTAATCCAAGATTAGAAAATGGTTAATGTAAATGAGAACAAGTAGAAACTGAGCAATGATTAGACTAATGTAATATAGAATAAACAGTTGTCAAGATTTAGTTAAGATCAAAATAAAGAATTAAAATCAGATCAAGCAAAAAAATTAAGAAAATTAATATTTAAAATTAAAAATTTGGTAACCATTTTTATATCAAGATCATCATGCATTTTTTGTTGTTCAATTTCATTGAGTACACGATCTCCATCTAAATCATACTGAGTAAATACAGCCTCAATTTCTAAATCAGCATGGCCACGCCTAAAAAAACAGTAAAAAACAATAGAAAAAATATGAATGAACTAAATTCTAATATAAATATTGTTCAAGTATCTTACAATTTTAACTGCGCTCTCCATTCTTCGAAGTCTAACATATTATCATGGTTCACATCAGCAGTTTGAAGAGCTTTTTGAATGTCAACAATTTTTTCTCGCTTAAAAGATAAATTGCTCATCATTTTATCATATCCTTTTTTAAAGTAATCACCAATTTCAAATTCATCTTTTTGCTCTGCAAGATCTGACTTCACTTCAGAATAAGTGTCATTAATAATGGCCAAAAACATGTTTATCAAAATAAAAAACACCATGAATACATAAGAAATGAAAAATATTGGGCCCATACTTGGTGCAGCACCATTTATATCAGACCAAGCAAAGTCACCAAGAATAATACGAAAACATGCAAATCTAAACAAAAATGTTTTATAGCAAAAAAAACATTTGATGATTAATTAAAAACAAATATATGGAGGGGAAAAAAAAAGAATCACAGGACTACTTAAAAGGGTAAAAAAAAAAAAAAAAACTATAAAAATATTTATACCTGGTATGTTTTTATAAGGATAAATTAAATATCATTGTAAAACATTCCCATTTCAAATCATAGATTTTGCCATAAATACATTATGGCAAAATTTATGATTTTATATGGGAATGTTTTTACAATGACAGTTATACATTATGACATCACTGTTATGTTAAAAACATAGCTGTGATGTCATAGTATCAATTTTTAAATATAAAATAAAAAAATAGATATTAACAAATATTTTGCAATGTAAGAAAAGGTTATTGTCATTTTAATATTTTCAATAAGATTCTTAAAAATCAGGAATTAGTTTATTTATTCTGTTTTTATAAAAAAAGCGTAGTTAAAATTATTTCTAGTAATTTAGAATATCTTAAAACTACAGTAAAAGAAAAATAAAAACAACAGTGGCAGATAAATAAAAACTAAATTAGTAAATAAATATCAGGTGTCTAACTCTGTTTGATACAATGTCTAGAAAAACCACTATATAAGACACATAATTGAATCTTTTGTTCGGTTCTGTTTTTACAAAATTTAAAATTTTTTTTTTTTTTTTTTTTAACATCTTCACTTCCAACAAGGCTGCAAGCAACCACTAAAAGAGTTGGAAGTTACTGGAAGAGAAAAGACTAAATCTGTAGAGCAAGATAACGATTGACTGATGACTTAAAAGATTGCAAATTATATGAATCAGGAAAGCAAGATGAAGGAAGCGAATTCCAAAGAACTGATGTTCGAGGAAAAAAACTAGAAGAATAAGAGTTTTTGAAGCACTTAGGAACAGTCACAGAAAAAGGATGAGACTTAATTGAATGGCGAGTAACACGAGAATGAATTTTAGTAGATGGCACAAGGGACGCTAGCTCTTTAGAGCAGTGCCCATTATAGTATTTGTAAAAAAGAGAAAGAGAAGCAACATTACGACGATGTGACAAAGGTTGGAGATTGGCTGCCAGAGCAGGTCCAACTATGTTTACAATTCGTTTTTGCACCTTGTCTAAAAGAGAAAGAGCATCATTAGAAGATCCGCCCCAGATGTGGCAACAGTATTCCATACAGGGACGGATTTGAGATTTATAGAGAAAATTGAAGTTTTGAAATGAAAGCTTTAAATTCTTGCTAATTCATTAAAAGAGAATCAACTTTTTTATATTACGCACAAAATGGTGTTTGGTGTGGGAGTAAAGCCTCTAGAAATAACTTTAAGCAATGTCAGAAAATTGAGCAATGTCAGGAAATTGAAATCACTTGAGATGACTAGAACTAATGTAATTAATTGCAAAAAAAACTATTAGTGTTCATTTAAAAAAATCAAAACTCTAAGCAACAAAAAAAAAAGATTTAAGTCCTTCTTCATAATTTTTCATAAGTTGTGGTTTTTTTTTATTTACTAACATACTATTTAAACATTTAATAATAATTATTAGTCAAAACAAATCCTTTCCTTTTTAAGTTACCAATTAGTACACAAACTTAGCATTTACAGATCAACATAGAAAAAATCAAATTGAAACTAATGATGATAGCTCTTTAACAAATTTTCATTATGCAAGAATTAAATAAAATTCCTAATTCAATTTGAAGGAGTATATTGCTGCATTCAAAACATTAAATGCTGTCAAATCGAAATGTTTTGGAAATGTCCTCCTACAGAGATTCTATTTTATTAAGAGAGTATAAAAAGCCTTTGGTCTTCCATTACATAAGCCTTTAGTCTTCCATTACATTTCATATATCCCATAGTTATTACACATAATGACATGATGTCATTAAACTTATATTCAGAAGAATTGTACAATTATGTAATGCTTAAGGCAATTAAAAATAGAAGAATTTAACAATTGAATTGATCATTTCAGAAACATGTCAAGTATTATTTTTGTCAAAAATGATATTATTATAGATTATGAAAGCCTGACTTTAGCCAAACCATCTTATGCAGAAACACATAAACTAATAAGCCTTTCAATGGTTGTATTTTGTCTTCAAATATCTTTGGGTTTCAATAATTAAGAGCGCTTTACTGTTCACCAAGTAACAAACAACATGATAAATGCTTTTAATAATTGGTGGCCACATTTTTACAAAAAGAACTGTCAACTCAGTTGAAACTTCTGGGAGGGAAATTAGAAAGGAAAACAGGACTCCTTTTAAAATATCCATCTTGAAAAAGTTTTATTACAAAAAAACTGATGAGGAAAAGGGGTTACTTAGCACTTTATTGATAGTTTCATTTACTTAATGTTCACATTTTAAAAATATTTTGCAGTTGCAGAGCTGCCAACAGTCATCGCACGTCCATCTGGAAAAACAGATATCAATAAAAAGAAAATTAATGACCTGAAGAAGTTGGCCAAGTATAGTACGGACTATGAATATTTTAATGATGAAATCCTACAGTGGCTTAAAACCAAGGTTTCTGCAACAAATAGTGTATGATGATAGTTAGAAAAAAAACTCAAACAATAGACTTGGCCTATATGGTATATATGTTTTAAATTATACTATGTTTTATGTTATCTCGCTTGTCTAAGATTATTTTTTTTTATGTTCCTCATCTACCTGATTTTTAAACATTATCCAGTACAAAGGTTTTTAAAATATTTTCCATGAAAAACAAAATTTTAAAAATTAACTCTAATTACTATTTCTTTTTGCATTACAATAAGAAATTTTTTTGCTTTAAATTTTTCCCCGAGCCAAAACCTTTTTTTAATTTTTAGAAAACTAAAAAAGTTTTTTACAGTTTCTTGAAAATTGACACTATACAGGTTTCTGAAATAAATGATCTCTTTAAGTTGAGTGTACATGATTGAACATGATTGTTAAAATATAGAGCACATTAAATAAAAAATATTTTGAACAACTGCTATACAATACTAATTTATTCTGATTCAGTTTAATATTGAAAAATTATCAATATTTCTATATTTTTAAAGTATTAAAAAATTTTTGTAAAAATAAAACTGCAAAATATATCATCTTTTTGGAGATTTTTGTGGACAGTTAAAATTACTAAAATAACAACAACTTTTTTGGATAATAACAATAAAATGGAAATAACATTAACTTTTCTTAAAATATTTTTTAAAATTTGCAAAAATCATATTAATACAAAAACTTAGAACTAAGTTTTTTGATAAACATTTTACCTACCAGTAGAGCCTAAACGTAAAGTTATTTGAAATATAACTTTACATTTAATTTATTACAGATTAGATACAATATTAGAATTAAACCTAGCATGTCTGGGTTAATTGGAAATTGCATCTTAAAATATAAGGCATAATACTACTAGTGTAAGAGAATTTTTAAGTAAATTAAAATATGCACAATTGTGCCCGGAAATAAATGATCTGCAACTATTAGTAAAATTAAACCTAGAATTTCTAGGATAATTATAAATAAAAGAATTGTTTTTTTAATATACACAGTTTTAATACTGTTATTAGAATCAAACTATGAAGCTACAGTTCTGCTATTAGTAATTTTTCATTTAGACATTCTAAGCTAGAATTGCAATAAATGAAATATTAATAGTATTAAACCATTAATTCCATGTAAAAAATTTTACTTATGTTTAAAAATTATTTATCAGTTTTATATTTTTAAGTCTTTCTATGAATTAATTTTAGTTTTAAACCAAGAAATACTAGTATATACATAAAAATCATTAAAAGAACATTTTCAATTACTAAAAAAAAAAAAACTAACATGCTGTTTAAGTACGTAGAATAATCAGCCAATTGAGGCCCTAAAAGTAGGTAGCCCCATAATGCATAGGCAAAGAAAACAATAAAAAACATCACTGAAAAACCAGCAATATCTTTAGCACAGCGAGAGAGAGTTGATTGTAACTGTGTCATTGTTTTGTTAAATGAGAGATACTTGAATAACTAAAAATAAAGAAAAATATTATAGCATTAACAGTTCGTATATTTAAAATAAAAATAAAAAACTTAAGGTATTTAAAAACAGGTGTTCCTTCAAAAACGAAACTCCACAAAATGCAATGGCTTATGTGCATATTAGTATAAAGAAACATATGACCTAGTGTTAATGTAAACTAGACAATATATAACTATATAATAACTATATAATAACAGTAATAAAATATATAAACAATATAAAATCTTGTTAATTAAAATGAATGCTTTTCACTCCTAAAAATGATTTCAAAAAGCCAAAAACATTTTAAAGTAAAAAAACCATCTGAAAATGTATAATAAAGAAACAAAGAGAAATTTTCAATAAAAAAAAAAAAAAAAACCAACTAGCTTGCTGCTTATTTTGACAACTATCCCTAAGCAACCATTTTAAAAAAAGCCAACAAACACCTAAAAATTGTTTAAAACAAAGTCCAACACCATATACTCTAAATTAAATCAAATTAGCAAAAAAGTGAGCAGCAACAGTCAAAACTTAAAAAGCTTTTAACAAGAACATTATTTTGAATGACAAATCTTATTTTACTTTGTAAAATCTTACAGTCTGACAAAGAAAGCACGAGACTTAAGGGATAAAAGAAAAAAATTAAAAGTAAAGTATAGAGTGAAGTCATTCCTATGAATTAATCTCATAGGAATGACTTTGGACAATCAGTCATATAAACACATACAAAAAAATTGTATTAACTTTGTTTATACATCAACAATATCCTGACAACAATTTTATCTGATGGCTTGACTTACCTTCAGCTTATAATGCTAAAGTATTACTGATATGCTAGGCAGTGAAATTATAAACTATGTACTTGAGAAAGATAACCATGGTAACTGTCTTGATACAAGGCCTAACTGTCCTGATGAATGTATGGCTAAAGTAGTATGGCTAAAATGTTAATATAATAATTGAAAGAATCAATTATTGGCTGAAAAAAGTCACTTTAGAGGTATTACGGAAGTTTGTAAACTTCACAAAAGAGAGCTTGAATGCAGTTCAACAAAGATAGAAAGAATTTGGCAATACTAAATGTACATTATATATATATATATACATACATATATATATATATATATATATATATATATATATATATATATATATATATATATATATATATATATATATATATATATATATATATATATGTATATATATATATATATATATATATATATATATATATATATATATATATATATATATATATATATATATATATATATATATGTATATATATATATATATATGAATAACCTTAAATGTGTTCAATAAAATAGAGCACTCAATATTCTTAAAAGAACAGATATATATATAAATATATATAAATATATATATATATATATATACATATATATATATATATATATATATATATATATATATATATATATATATATATACATATATATATATACATATATATATATATATATATATATATATATATATATACATATATATATACATATATATATATATATATATATATATATATAAATATATATATATATTGCTCAATGTTCTTAAAGAACAGAGCAATAATAAATTAGTAGAAAATCACTTATCATTTTATACCAAACATTAAATTACATGAAGTCATAAATGTCGTAACTACTACAACTTCTAGACATTTGTGGAATATGCTGACACCATTATAAAAAGAGTTCTTTAGAATTGTTTACTTTTGTTTGTTTGTTTTTTTATATTTTTAAAGGGAGGATTAAATAATTATTTTTTAAGCCCACTTTTTTTATAGTTTTTTAGGAGAAACTCTCATGCTTGGATTTAGGAACCAATTCTGACTTTTTGTTTAATAAACGTTCTTGGGGTGCATATTTAATTATTTGAATTTTTTTGTGTAGGCATAATATACACTTTTCGGAAATAATATTATATGCAGGTGTTGTTTTAAGGATGGACCCATTCAGTGTAAAATTATTAATTTTTTTTATCTTTTAACTCTCATATGTATTTTGACTAAAAATTTAAAAAATCCATTAATTTAGAAGAAGTATTGCTAAAAAAATTAATCTTGATAACAGAATCAAATCAACTGCCCCTGCCCAAGCTTTTGTAACACTTAAAGATTATAAACCAAATTTTTAAAACAAACTTCCATTTAGGTTATTGGTTCCCTCAAAAAATGAGATTAAACATGTAAACAAAATTAAATTAGACAAAATTAATAATATTATTAGAAATAAATTAAATTTACAACATTGGAAAAATACCACTGATGTTATAAAGTAATTCTCCATATACAAAAATAAAAATGAACTTTCATTTAATTTGACATTAATGATTTTTACCCCTCAATAACTGCAGATATTTTAGATAAAACAATTGAACTTGCAAAAAGCCATACATTTATTCCAGAAGAGACAATTTGTATAACAAAATATTGCAGAAAAACCTTACTTTATTATAGAAAATTCGGAAAAAGAAAAACATGACTGCTTTAATGTAACAATGGGCAGTTATGATGGAGAAGAACTTTGTGAATTTGTTGGACTATATAATTGAGATTTATTAAGTAAAATAATTAATATTAATGATTTAGACCTTTATTGCGACAATGGTTTAATAGTAATTTGTAAAAAATCTGGTCTACAGCTCAATAAAATTAGAAAAGATATTATAAATATTTTTTTAAATATTGGCTTTCAAATCGAAATAAGCATAAACTTAAACATTTAACTTTTCTGAAAATTTATATAAGCCTTTCGAAAAACTAAATGATGAATTATTGTACATTATCAAACACAAGCTAAACCAAAATTCCTCTAATAAAAATGTATTCAATTCCAATAAATGTATTTTCAAAGATGTCCTTAAAAAAAGTGGTTTTCAAAATTTTAAATGAAAATTTGACCCTGAAAAAAGAGTACAAAAAAAAATTGAATTACAAATGTAATTTTGTTCAATCCCCCATATAGTAAAAATGTTTCCACTAACATAGGAAAATTGTTTTAAAATTGGTCAATAAATACAACCTGCCTTTATATAAATTACATAAATTAAACCTCTAATAAATTACATAAATTAATAAACTGCATTTCCTGCCCTCTAATATTTTACATAAATTTTTCAACTGAAATACAATTAAAGTTAGCTACAGTTGCACAAAAATAGGTTACAGCTAGTTACAGTTGCACAAAAAATCAATTGTCTAATAAGTGGAAAATTTTTATCATAAAAGAAGGTATATAAATATATATAAGTTGCTTCCTCTAAGAATGTATCTGATAAGCAATATATTGGCTTAACAGAGTATGAATGATAAAAACATTTGCCAGTCATAAGCCATTAAAAATAAAAAGTATCCACAAGACACCATCAGTTAAAATACATATGGGATTTAAAAGATAAAAACACTGCTGATTTTATACTGAATTGGTCCATCCTTAAAACAGCACTTGCATATAATAATATTCCCAAAAAGTGTATATTATGCCTACACAAAAAATTTAAAACAATTAAATATGCAAACCAAGAATGTTTATTAAACAAAAAATTGAAATTGATTTTTAAATGCAGACATGAAATTTTCTCCTAAAAAATTATGAAAGTTCAAAAAAATAATTATATTAACCCCCCCCCCCCCCTCCTTTAAAATTTTTTTTAAAAAAAAGCAGAAAAAAACAATTCTGAAGAATTCTTTGTATAATAGTGTCAGCATATTCTACAAATATGTGAACATTTACAGTAGTTAAGACATTAACGACTTTTTGTAATCTAATTTTTGGTATTATAGTAATATAGTTGGAGTTTTATTAATTTGATCATTTCTGACAAGTCTTTATTGATGAAAGATAGTGTAAAAAAATTTTGATAAGTGATTTTCTACTAATTTATTATATATCTTCTAATTTATATATGATTTTCTACTAATTTATAATAATATTTAAATGAGTGTTTTTTTTTTGTTTTTTTTTATTAAAATAGAAGCAACAAAAAATTAAAAACCTTGAACTATTTTCATGCGTTCACCATAATGATTAAATTCTATTTCAAAAATTCTATTTCGAAAATTCTATTTCAAAAATTCTATTTCAAAAATTACGAGTTTTAACAGCATATTACATAACAGTTTTATTTAAATCTGAATATATATGAAACATTTTCAGATAAAAGTTTAAAATAAAATTTATACAATATATAAATAAAATATTAACAAATGCTAAAAGAGTTTCAAAGTTTCTCCGAAAACATATTTATTAAAAGTTAAATAATTAATTTAAATTGTAATTTGATTGATTTTCTTTTTTAATAACAACTTCAAAAATTGCTTTAAAAATAGGATAATAAGTAACTTTAATAAATAACTTTAGTAGATAGCATTTTTTTTTTTTTTTTAAAAAAAAAAAAACTTAGTTTAATACTACGTAGTTTCTTATTTTAATGGTTTTTTTTTATTAATCTAGTATTAAAAGTTTCTTAAGAGTTTCTTAAGTTATAAATAGGGCTTCGAGCACCAATTTCCTATTAATATTAACTTAAAAAAAATTGCATAGTTACCATTTATGAATTTTTTTTTAATGATGGGTAAAACGGCTACTTAATATTCTTATTTTCTAATTATATTTTTATGTCAGTCTGAACATATGCAACAAAATAAAAAAATCCAATTACACAAGAGTTGAAAGGGTAGTGTAAGTTTTGTAACAAAGTAATAAAATGTTCAGGAAATTCTATCATTACCTTAAACCATCACTTAAAAGTCACAAAATTTGTTTAGATAAGGCAACAGAATCAATCATATTAACAGATAAGAGAGCAAGTGAGAAGAGACAAAAAATTGTGAGCAACTTCTTTGTGAAAAAGAAAGTTCTTCAAAATAATGCCTCTGATTTGGTTATGGATGGCATTTCAATTTGATCCATAACCTCATTCACCACTCAATAGCTCAAAATGGATTTAAACTCCCTGCTAACGAAAGCGATGTAATGAAACTTCTGCACAATTATTTTGATGAAAAACAACAACAACAACAAAATTAAAAGTGACAATAAAGTAAAGTTTAGCATGACTGTTGATGAGGTTATTACTTTAAGAGAACGAAAATACTTTGTAGTTAAAACTCATGACAAAACTGACAATATCACATATAAAACAAAATAATTAAGAACTTATCAAAAATAAAAATAAAATAAAAAAATTCAATGGCAAACTTTATTACAACACAATATTTTTTAATTAAAAAATTCATGTTAAAAACATGACAATAGCAAACCTTAATCCAAATAAGAAATATATAAACTGCTACAAGGTCATTAAATTTTGTCTGCATGTCAGCCAATATCTCAAAATTTGCATACTTATCTCGTTCCTCCAACGTAATACGTAACTTATTAGCAACTGATACCGTACGAACACCATTAAAAATCACACAAATAAAACCCAGTAACACTATTATAATATCCATGACATTCCATACATCTGAGAAATATGAAGTACCATGTTTTTTTATCTCAATTGCTTCTTCAATGGAATAATAAATGAGAAGAAGGATAAATATTGCTTCACACGCCATTACAAAATAATCCATAGAGGTCACATAGCGCAACAGCTTTAATGTTTGAAAATAAAATATCGGGAAGCATCCACCAGTAGCTGGAAACTCAAGTAGCAAGCTAAATTTTATAAAACAACTTTATTTATTTTCTACTTAAATATTATTAATTTTAGAAACAACATAAAAAATCTCACATATTTTTTTTTTGTATTAATTTTGTGTTAACTATTGACGGTATATATTTATAAATTTTGTATTCTAGAGATTGACACAACTTCAAGTATTTGTATCAACTTCAAGTATTTGTATCAACTTCAAGTATTTGTATCAACTTCAAGTATTTGTATCAACTTCAAGTATTTGTATCAACTTCAAGTATTTGTATCAACTTCAAGTATTTGTATCAACTTCAAGTATTTGTATCAACTTCAAGTATTTGTATCAACTTTTTTCAACAGTGATTGATGAACATGTATTTAGTAACTGACCAATCTTAATTTTTACCTTAAAAGAGTTAATTATAAAGGGTTGATTTTATTATTTATTCAGGGTTGATTAAATGTGATGAATAAAATTTTTTAAATTTTTATGAGGTAAAAACCAAATTATTACAATTTACAAGAGAATTTTATCATTATCATGTTCTTTACAATAATGGGCATGATCATCTTCATATATAAATTAATTTTTCCTTAACTTGAGCTCACAATTTGATTTCCTGTTATTTATTTGATTATTTTATTAACTTTTACTTGCTAATAACTAATAAACTCTAGTGAAGGGAAGATTTAAGTTTACATGGTTTGAACTTTAAATGTCAATAAGTTTTTTAATGATTTTGAAATAAATTAAAAAATAATTTATTTGTAAGATTACTTATTATTAGGGTTCATTATCGAAATTGCAATTTTCGAAAATTTTCGATTAAAACGTTATCGAAATACTTCTTTTTTTTCGAAATCTAAAAAAACTTCCGATAATAATCGAACTAGCCATATTAATTTCGAAAAAAAAAAGTAATTTAGAAATGTGAAATTAATTTCGAAATAAAAAGGTGGATTACAAAATAGGAAATTAATTTCGAAAGGAAATAAAGAATTTCGAAATGTGAAATTAATTTCGAAATAAAAAGGTGGATTTCGAAATAGGAAAATAATTTCGAAAGGAAAAAAAGAATTTCGAAATGTGAAATTAATTTCGAAAAAAAAAATGTATTTCGAAAAGTGATATTAATTTCGAAAGAAAAAAAAGAGTTTTGAAAAGTCAAATTAACTTCGAAAAAAAAAAGTGTATTTTGAAAAGCCAAATTAATTTCGAAAGAAAAAAAAGAGTTTCGAAGTGTGCAATTAATTTCGAGAAAAAACCAATAGATATTTGGTAAGCTAAATTAATTTCGAACTTATTAAAAGAAATATTAAAAGAAATATTGAAATTTTTTTCTTATAGAAAACGTTTAGATTCTCTTTCGAATTATTCTAAGGAGATGTTCTTAGAATTGCTCTTAGAAGAATTTTATTTCTAATAATGTTTTTTTAAAAACTTTTCCATATAAATGGTCCACGGTATTGAATTTGAAATGAATTGAGTTTTAAATAAGATCTTGGAATTACAAAATTATCAGATGGGTATTAATGAGATATTTCTGCAAAGTAAGAGTGAAATATATAAGGAGATAACGCATGTTTTGATTTAAACGTAAAAAGCATAACTTGGTATATATTAAGTTTATAAATAAAAAAACTATGAATAGGGGAAGTCAGGGTACAGTGGATTGAGGGGCACAGTGAATAAGAAGCATTTTTTCAAAGATTATGATTTTGTTCATCACGATGATGTAATAAGTTTATGTGCGCATATATCACCCATCTTTATTTATAGGTGTTACCACATAATTTTTGACTCTCGGTTTTAGGTAGGTAATTTATGTTTTTAGCTAACTAAAGTAAATCCTCTTACCATCTTTATGTTTGTTGTGGAGATCATGGTTAAAATCATTTTATAAGTTAAAGTTTTATATTCGGAATACTGATCTTTATGGTTCATTTTAGTAGTTTTGCTTTTCCTTTAATAAAACTCATGCCCCAAGAAATTAAACTTGAACCTTATTTTTTATAGTGGGGCACAATGAATCGGGGTACCGTGAAACGGTTAATTCACTGTGATAAAAATGTTTATAAAAATTAAAAATTCACTTTAAAAAATTTCTTGTGTTGTTGGTTAAATAAGTTTTATTAAATAAATTTTTTTTTGTGATTTTAGATGGTTGAATAAGTTTTGTTATCAATAAAATTTATTCTTTATTTTGTCATTTAGAAAAAATTTAAATTATTTAATATTAGTTACCAAAAGTGCACCAAAAGTATAGTGTACAATGTATTTACACCCTCATTCTCAAAATTATTTGGCAACGCCCCCATTAACTACCACTAAATTGCAAATGAGTTAATTGTTTCACTGTACCCCAGTACTGGGGTACAGTGAATCACTTAACAAATCTCACTTTAAACCTTTCTGTGAGCTGTTAGATAATATATATTTAGGTTTTAGTTATTTCTTATCATGAAGGACATATTCTCAATCCTTTAGCCTTGACAAACATAAAATATATATTTTAACTTTCACTCAAATTAAAAAAGAAAGAAATTCGACCCACTTTGCCCCACTCTCCCTAAATGAAAAATATATAATTTTCAAAGACTCCGTATTAAGAAAATTATATATTTTTTATGCTAAATAAAGTTAAGGTTTAACTATATATAGCATTGAAGTATTTTTGGATATTTTAATTTCAATAGATTTAATATGATATTTCCATGATATATTTTCATCTATAATCACTCCTAGAAAGTTAAAAAAAGACTCTCTTCTAATCACTTTTTTGTTCATAAAGATTTTCCTCAAGTTAGGGAAAGATAAAACAATCCAATTTATAATTAGTTGTTTGGACAACAAGATTTCTTAAAAAAGGGCAATATCATAACAGTAAATGCTACTGCTACAAGCTATGAAATTAGTCCTCTTTAGTTACAAATTCTAAACCATTCAATAACGGGGAAAGATTATTTAAATTTACGAATCATTTACACACACACCTTCCTAAATGCATTTTTTGTGCATTTAGTCGGCAAAAATAACCCTTTTAAAGAAGTCGGCAAATGTAGACCTTTTAGACAGGTCAGTCGTCGAACTTCAAAAAACAAGGACCTAATTTTTTACTCAACAAAAATTTTAATGACATCCCACCACGTCACACCTACTTGCACCTGCCCTGATGGCAGCTCAATCATTGGATATTGGTGTTTTTTCCAGAATTGAAAAGAATGTAGCGGAAAACATATTGTCATTAATTAAGCTGTTTGTAAAAAAGTTCATCAGATAAAAAAAAAAGAATACAAGTGCTTTAAATTACTAAGATTTATAAAATACACTTTTACTAAATAATTTTTTTTATTTTAATAAAGAAATGTTTTTGATTACTTGTTTTCTTTAATAAAAACTAACTGCTTCAATAAGCTTGGCGCAAGCCTGTTCCGTAGCTCCGTATCTATTAAACCGGTTGAACTAAATAAGCATTCTGATGGCACGGATGTCGCTGGAACTGAAAATATTATCCGTGCAATTTGTGTCAAAACCAGGAACAATTTTTGATTAGCTTGGAAAAATTCAATGGCACTATTTTCGTAGCTATGAAAGTATTGCAGACTGTAATCATTTATTTCTTTTTTAAGTTTATCATTGCTCTCAATTGAATTACAACAAGATTTATCTGTTACTAGTTCAATTAAGTTGATTGACTTTCGTCTTTTGTTGTTAACTAAAGTAATATTATTTGCAATAGGTGACGTTGACAATTGCTGAAATGTTTTTATGGTATTGTCAGCTGAGCTGTTTGACGAGTTCAAAGTGTTATTTAAACAATTTGTTTCAATTGTTATATCGATTTCTTCGGTTTCTTTTAGATGCATTTCATAAAATGTTTTTATAAACATTTTTGCCTTTGAAATGCATTCATATCTATAGATATCATTTTTGATAAACTCGAATTTACGAAATTTGAAATCAAGAAAAGTAGCTGCTAAAAAAAAATCATTAGCAAAAATGTATTTAAAACGTCCTTTTAGAGACCTTAATAATTTCTTTTGAAAAGTCTTAACTAGTTCTGTAAAAATAGGTTGCGATTCAAGTATTTCATTTAGTAGAGAATACAGTGTTGGAAACAGGAATGTTACTGTAACATATTTCTTTCCGCTAAAAAGTTTTGTTAGCTTTTTAATTGGGTGTAACAAATCACACAAATCCTCCAGCACCTTAAATTCAGTAGCAGTGGGAAGATAGTCTTTTATATTTTGGAATTCGATGCTTATCATATCCAATGCAGTTTTATTTGTTAATATAGATTCAATCATATCGAATTGGCTATTCCAGCGAATAGCTATATCCTGTACTAACTTTACTTTAGTTTCATAACGAAGTGTTTCTTGAACTTCTTTTAACTTTTTTTGTAACATCTCTGAATGCTTAAATGAACCAACAATGTGCCTGCAGGATGAAATTACCTTGGCGATTTCTAATTTGCCTTCGTTAATTTTTTCAATTTCTTTAACTTCACTTTCTGTAATTTCTCTATTAATTAGTTTTCCATTACCGTCGTAATCTTTTACTTGGTAACGCTTTGACCCATTTTTAAATTTTTTTACTTTTATATCTCGTGCGTTTAGAAGATGATTAACCACGAGATTCAAACGATGACCAGCACACGGAATCTTAAGAACATTATCCTCAAATTTATTTACTGCAGAGAAAATATTTGCACCTGAGTCAGTAACTAGTGCAAAAATCTTATTATTGATTGACCTTTCACTGAAGATTTCGTTTAACGTATTAAATAAATATTCAGCTGTTTTCATTTCAGATATAAACTTAAGATTCAGGTTTCGGTCAACTAGAGTCATATTTTTGTCAATAAAATGACAAGTCACACCGAGGTAGCTGTTTTTACCTAATGATGACCAACTATCACAAGTAATTGTAATGAAACGACATCCCTTCAATTCTAGCATTAAAATTGATTTAAGATTGTCCGTAATTGATGGAATTAATTTCTTGCTCACCGTATTT